CAGAAACACTGTAAACAGTCAGAAACACAGTAAACAGTCAGAAACACAGTAAACAGTCAGAAACACTGTAAACAGTCAGAAACACTGTAAACAGTCAGAAACACTGTAAACAGCCAGAAACAATGTAAACAGCCAGAAACAATGTAAACAGTCAGAAACACAGTAAACAGTCAGAAACACTGTAAACAGAAACATTGCATATACAGTTTTCACAAGGTTACCCAGCATGTTTTTCAGCTCACACAGTCTCTGGGACTCTCAGAGAGAAATTAGTTAGTTTTGGGGAAAATAAAACAAAATTAAATAGAGACATAAATCTTTGCTTTAATATGGGCCTACAAATATCCCTGTTTAATGTTAATACCGTTTGATTATCAGATTTAAATAAGCAGAAAAACAAGCTGAAACGCTGAGCTCTCTTTTTCTCTCTCCTGATGCGGGGAGTTCTGATAAATTGTTCATATCAGTGTGTGATCGCCCGCGAGCTGGATTAAACAACAAACAGATTTATTTATTTATTTTAATTACAATTATTTTTCTTCTTTTGGCTGCTCCCTTTGTCAGGGGTCATCATAGCAAACTAAGTCGCACGAAGACTTGGCAATTATTTTTACGCCGGATGTCCTTCCTGATGCATCCACAGACCACTGAGCTACCCCAGCCCTGTGTGTGGAGCAGAGAGCTGCTATCTAGGGTGCCCGGGGGAGCAGATGGTGGGGGTTAAGGGTCTTTCTCAAGAGCCTAGAGTAGGGCAAATGAAGATGGAGGCAGGTGTGGGTGCTTCAACTTTCCCACCCACATTTTGATGTTGTCGATATTGAGAGTTGAACCGGCAATCTTCCGATCACAGGCCCCTTTTTCTCTAAACTCTGCGCCACCACTCCCAAACAACAGATTTCTTACCGGGGAAATATTGATGAGGACGCACTGCAGCTTTCTGGTTGGTTTGAAAATAGCTAACCAAAAATAGGATTGATTAAGTGATTACAGTAGTCCCTCGCTACGTCGCAGTTCGACTTTCACGAACTTGCTCTTTTGTAGTATTTCAATGTAAGATTGTACACGACACACGCTCGTCAACTTTAATATTACTCAGGTGTTTGAGATGGTACGGGATAAAAGTTTAACGAAAAAAACTTCGGACAGGCGCCGCCATATTGCAGTTTTCTTTCAATAAGCCTATACGGTAATGCAAGTCAAAAGAACTACACTACCCAGAAGCCAACAGCGCTTCCGGCTGCTGCTTTCTGCCAAAGTGGAGGGAAAGTTTTGCAACGCAAATCTACACTATCTATTAAGTTCACTGAACTGGCAGGAAAGTTGTAAATAATCCAGAAGCTCAATGAAGCTCAATTATCCACGTGCACATCAACTGGGGATGGGGGGACGGGGTGACAGGGTGGTGGGCTTCGTCGCTGCAGGGCAAGTCTGCCGAACCAGAACTGAGCCCATCCGGAACAGAGCTGCTGGTCTGCAGAGCTGCTGAGTAAAATTTTGCAGTACTGTACAGTACATATACGTATGTTGTTAAAATGATGTAGGTTTAAGAGTTTAGAACATTGCAAGAGTGTGGGAAGAGTTTATAAAGCCTTAAAATATATATAAATACTAAAATAAATATAGTATTTCTATTTTGCTGTTTTTCACCTACTGCGGTGGTGTCTGGAACGTAACCCCCGCGATAATTGAGGGACTACTTCAATTAATTTTAGTAAATGTCACCAAGGAGACGTTCAACATGCATTGAGCTCACGTTCAGCCCAGCTGAGTTCTGCTCCGCCTCTTTTGGTTCCGCTCAAAGCTCACACCTGAGGGGAACACGGACGCTTCGCCTGCGATTTATGAACCGTTTGAGGAAGAACTGGTCTGAGCAGAACTGGTTCTGAATGGACCCACATGGAACAGCAACATGTCGGTCATTCAGGGAACATCAAAAACTGTCAACATTTGTTTTATTTTGAAAAGGGTAAAGATTTATCAAGTCAGAGATGGCAGCATAGCACGGCATTTGTGTTAAATAGGAGGCATAGTGTGTCATTTTGGTGTTTTTTTATTGTAGCACATTAAAATATTGCTACTTTTATTGAAATTAAATAAAACCTGAAATGTAATTTTATTGAATTATACTTTTGGGTTCTGTTTATTTACATTTATGATTTAATGGAGCAAAATTAACAAATTTAATTGAAACACTTGGTTTATTTACATAATGACTAACTACTGGATGTCCGCCCCCTGAGCTGCTGGCTTTCAGTAACTGTGGCCCCCTGAGCAGTTTAGTTGAATAGCCCAGCTTTAAGCAGATTGCTAAAACGAAACCTTAAAATAGACAAACCACTCCTGATCCAGGAGGATTTCTATTCTTCCTCTTCTGTCTTAAGTCCACAGGATGAGACAACAGAGCATCGGGCTGGAGACAGTCCTTACCGTGGTCTCGTCCTCATGCAGCACCTGGTCGTATCCGCTCAGCGCCACACAGAAAATAATGGCCGTCACGTCCTCAAAACAGTGGATCCACTTCTTCCTCTCCGACCTCTGACCTCCGACGTCAAACAGCCTGATGGGACATTTGAGACGAGAAGAATTTAAACCTGAACACTCGTCAGTTTGTCAAGCTCAAGATGGTTCAGTTGAGCTGCTGAAAGGTCACATTTATTAATATTTGTGTCAAAAACAAACTGGTCAGTCTTTAATCACCACTCGCTGAGCAGCAGCTGAAACGATACACTCAGAAAACGACAAGGAGAAATTACAGATGTGAGACTTGAAGCTGCAACGATGCGCAGAGAGATGTTGGACTGAAACACAGTGTGCGTGACGGTATAATGATAGGTGGCAGACGGGTTCCACCCAGTACAGGAACAGAACCACCTCCCAGCAAGGCTGCCAGTAACAGCAGCCCAGCTGGACCTCCACAGAACACTGAAGGTCTCTGGGTCAAACATCGTTCAGAAGGGCGATCATGTCTCTGCAGCCTGAAGGTGCATCCTCTGATCAAAACAAGTGGCTCAGTCAAACCCCTCTCCTGTTTGTCGTTCAGCAGATCAGAACCACGATGACAGAAGTTCAGAACTACTGCTGCAAACTTTGTGCTACTTTAACCAAATGGTTAGACTGGTTAATAGTCTGCTTTGACTTTTTTGGTTTTTATAACTTTTCAAAATATTTATCTTTGTTTACATTAAACTCCTCTGTAGAAAAACACACCAAGATGTCTTCAGGTCCTTTAACAGGCTCGCTTTATTTTCTCTTCTTTTGCTATTTTTAGCTTTTAGTTACTGCTCTGCTTCTTCAAGATTTCAGCTAAAGTTTTACTGACGTTAGCATCTCTTTAGCTAGATTTAGCTTTAGTATATGTTTAGCTAATTTTGGCTATGATTTTTCTTGTTTTAGCATTTGGCAACACAAAGGCATCACTGTCGCCTTCGTGCTTGCTCAAGATGAGAGTTCTGTGATGGAGTTAAATTCAAAGTAGTCTGCTCCACAGATAAATATTGTTAACTTATGTTTTATATATATGAATGTTTCTGTTCAGTGCCCTGAGATGACTTCTGTTATGACGTGGCAACATATAAATAAGCTGAACTGAATTGAATTCGCTGGCCTGTAACGGCTGCTTTTAGCATTTTATGTCAATTTTAGCTTTAGTATACGTTTTGCTCATTTTAACATCTGTTGCCGTTTTTAGTAACTTTTATCTACTTTGTTACTTTTGCAAACTTTAGCTTTAGCATATGTTTTGCTAGTTTTAGGTACAGTTTAGCTATTTTTAACATTTGATTTATTTATTTTTTTACTCTAAAATCAGTTTAGCTTTTTTGTTATATATTTTACTAATATATATACTAATACCATCTGTTTTGTTAGATTTACCTTATATATATATATATATATATATATATATATATATATATATATATATTGCTAATTTTGGCTAAAGTTTCATTACTTTTAGCATTTGTTTCAGGTTTTTATTTTATTGCCAATTGTAGCATCTGTTTAGGTACTTTTAGTTACCCATTTAGCTAATTTTAGCTTTAGCTTGTGTTTTGATCATTTTAGCTATGGTTTTGCTACTATTACTGTCAGTTTTGCAAACTTGATTTGTTTTTGTCATTTTAGGCTTCAGCTTTAACTTAGTTTATACTTTATTACTTTTAGCTTTAGCATTTGTTCTGCTACCTTTATTTATTTTTGTTGTTATTGCTAATTTTATCATATGTAATGCTACTTGAAGCAACTATTTTGTTAACTTTAGCATCTCTTTCAGTAACCTGAGCTAATCTTTACCTTTAGCATGCTCCTTCTGCTTGTTTTGATTAATCTTCCCATCATCCCACGCGGCTCCCCTCTCGGTCGCCGTTCCCTCAGCTCCCTGCTCTAATTGAATCCGACCTCGTTAAAGAGGCAGAGAGCCATAAATACGGAGACTTGTTTAAACGGTTTCCTCTGGTTAATCACAGAGTGGAGTTCCTGTCAGGGAAATGGAGGAGACAGATGCTTCTTTGGGAATACCGACCTGAAGTGAAGGTTTTTGAAGGTGAAGTGCGTCTCGACGATACCCGTGGTCTTCACTCGGGTCCGCAGGATGTCCTGCTCTGTCGGCTGGTAGTCGGCCGCACCGATCCGGTCTAGACTGTCCAAGTAGCTGCACACAGAAAGAAAGGCAATGTAAGGAAAGACGATTCTCTTTGGTGATGTAATGAAATATTCCTGCAACCATCCATCCTACCAAAAGTAGCGGTAAACAATCCCAAATCATCGCTTGTGTCTAACAAACATCAGCATCATCTTCCAGGCTGAAAACAGGCAGGTGAAGGACAGGAGCAGGTATAAACTCACCCCGTGTCACCTTCCAGTGTAATGGATGTGATTTTCCTTTTTATTTTTAGATTAGCGATGTTCTTTCAGGGCTTTAAAGCAGCTGCTCAGTTACTTCAAAGTAAAACAGATAAAGGCTGGAGAGGGAGGACACATTGGCTGAGTGTAACAAAAAGTAGATGGAACACACACACAAACACACACACTCACAAGCAGCTTCACTGATAAGAAGTATTGATTACATAGAGGGAAATATTGGTTAGACTGTGGTTTGGAGGGGGATGAGAGATGAAGAAAGCCATTTTTTTTCCCTCACGAGCCACAAAGAGGCAGTAATCTGCGACCACAACGTGTTTCTATAGAGTAAAAAGAAAGCACATCTGCACCACATCCTTATCACATGTGCCTCGTTTGGTCCCAGAGAGCCAGAGAGGACGGGTTAACTGATGAGCTGATGCCGACACAGGTTTCAGTTTACAAAGTGAAAGGCCAGTGATTGGATTAGAAGCCATCAAACAACCCACAGAGTCTCATCACAAACCCAATAAAAGGCATATGTCTTAACTGGAAACAAGAATCAATGAGAAATGAAAGCTGCATGAAGCAGGTCATCACACCATTTCATCCTGAACCTGTGTGCCGGTGATGTGTTCATGTGTGAAACCTCCAAACATTCATGTCATAACAGACCAGTTAGAGTTCTCCTCACTATCTGGTATCAAAGACTAAATCCACTGAAAGGATGGTGGATGTTTGATAATCGAGTCTGAAAGGTTAGTCAAAGTTCAGCTACTGTTGGTGTTTACCCATTTGTCTTTCCTGACCTTTCCCTCCACTCGAGGTTGAACCTCCCTGCAGTTTCTTCACAGTGAATTCACATCAGCTTCATTTGTGTTATCTCATCCTCTGAAGGACTCACACAGACAGCAGACTGCATGGAAAACAACACCAGCACAATGAGAAGAGGGTTTACATGGAAAACAACAATGGGACCACTGGAAGGATTTACATGGAAAACAACACTGGGACCACTGGAAGGGTTTACATGGAA